ATTTTAGATCTTTCTTGACTTCTCATGTGGGCATTTATTTTTCCCTCTAGACACTGCTTTAAATGTGTCCCAGAGATTCTGGTACATTGTGTCATTGTTCTCTTTGGTTTTGAAGAACATCTTTATTTCTGCCTTCATTTCATTGTTTATCCAGTCGATATTCAGGAGCCAGTTGTTCAGTTTTCATGAAGTTGTGTGGTTCTGAGTTAGTTTCTTAATCCTGAGTTCTAATTTGATTGCACTGTGGTCTGAGAGACTGTTTGTTATGATTTCCATTCTTTCGCATTTGCTGAGAAGTGATTTACTTCCAATTATGTGGTCAATTTTAGAGTAAGTGCAATGTGGTGCTGAGAAAAATTCATATTCTATGGATGTGGGGTGGAGAGTTCTGTAGATGTCTATTAGGTCTGGGCTTGGTCCAGATCTGCATTTCAAGTCCTGGATGTCCTTGTTGATTTTCTGTCTCGATCTAATATTGACAGTAGAGTGTTAAAGTCTCCCACTATTATTGCGTGGGAGTCTAAGTCTCTTTGTAGGTGGTTAAGAACTTGCTTTATGTGGATAGTTAGCTCTTCTTGTTGCATTGATCATTTTAGCATTATGTAATGCCCTTCTTTGTCTCTTTTGATATTGTTGGTTTAAACTCCATTTTATCAGAGACTAGGATTGCAACCCCTCCTTTTTTTGCTCCCCATTTGCTTGGTAAATCGTCTTCCATCCCTTTATTTTGAGTCTGTGTGTGTCTTTGTATGTGAGGTCGGTCTTCTGAATGCAACACAACAGTGGGTCTTGACTTTTTATCCAGCTTGCCGGTCTGTGTCATTTGAAAGGGGCATTTAGGCCATTTACATTTAACGTTACTATTGTTATGTGTGAGTTTGATCCTGCCATTTTCTTACTGGCTGGTTGTTTTGCCCGTTAGTTGATGGAGTTTCTTCACTGCATCATGGGCCTTTACCATTTGGTACATTTTTGCAGTGACTGATACTGGTTGTTCCTTTCCATGTTTAGTGTTATCCTTCAGAAACTCTTGTAAGGCAGGTCTGGTGGTGACAAAATCTCTCAGCAATTGCCTGTCTGTAAAGGATTTTATTTCTCCTTCACTTACGAAGCTTAGTTTGGCTGGATATGAAATTCTGGGTTGAAAGTTCTTTAATGATATTGAATATTGGCCCCTACTCTCTTCTGACTTGTAGGTTTTCTGCTGAGAGATCTGCTGTGAGTCTGATGGGCATCCCTTTGTGGGTGACCCGACCTTTCTCTCTGGCTGCCCTTAGCATTTTTTCCTTCACTTCAACCCTGGTGAATCTGATGATTATATGCCTTGGGGCTGCTCTTCTTGAGGAGTATCTTTGTGGTGTTCTCTGTATTTCCTGGATTTGAATGTTGGCCAGCCCTGCTAGGTTAGAGAAGTTCTCCTGGATTATATCCTGAAGAGTGTTTTCCAGCTTGGATTCATTCTCCCCGTCACATTCAGGTACACCAATCAAGTGTAGGTTAGGTCTTTTCACATAATCCCGTATTTCTTGGAGGCTTAGTTCATTTCTTTTCACTCTCTTTTCTCTAATCTTGCCTTCTGTTTTTATTTCATTGAGTTGATCTTCAGTCTCTGATATCCTTTCTTCTGCTTGATCAGTTTGGCTATTGAAACTTGTCTATGCATTGCAAAGGTCTCATGCTGTGTTTTTTAGCTCCATCAAGTCATTTATGTTTTTCTCTAAGCTGGGAGGAGGAGAGTCATTATGGTCTTTGATGGTTTCAGCCTTTTTGTGCTGGTTTCTTCCCATTTTGTGGATTTACCTACCTTTGATCTTTGAAGTGGGTGAGTTCGGATGGCGTCTCGAGTGGACATCCTTTCTGTTGATGTTGAAGCTATTTTTTTTGTTGTTTTTTAGTTTTCCTTCTAACAGTCAGGTTCCACTGTAGGACTGCTGGAGGTCTACTCCAGATCATGCTTGCTTGGGAATCACCTGTGGGGCTTGCAGAACAGCAAGGATTGCTGCCTGGTCTTTCCTCTGGTAGCTTCATCCCATAAGGGTACCCGCCAGGTGTCAGCCAGATATCTCCTGTATGAGGCGTCTTTTGGCTATGCAGGGGTCAGGGAGCCACTTAAGGAGACAGTCTGTCCCTTGTCTGCCTACAGAGGCACTGCTGAGCTGTCACCGACTCAGTCCAGCTGCTATGTAAGCTTCCTCTGGCTTTTGTTTACACAGGCAGGTTTAGAACCGCCTCAGCAATGGTGGACACCCTTCCCTCCACCTTTGCTCGATAGTCCCGGGTCAAGCTTGAACTGATGTGCTGGCTGCAAAACTCTCAAGCGAGAGGGCTTCAGTTTGCTGCTCTTTGCAGGGTTGGTGGGACCCGCCTAGCCGTATCACCTGTCTCCCTGCTTTTAGCTCCCCCTCTTTCTGGGGAGCAAGTAGCTCTGTCCCTCAGGTACTCTCGGTGCTAATTAAAACGTCCGCCCAGATCTGTGCTGACAACCCCTGGCACCGGCCAGAGCTGCCACTCAGATCTGTGCTGTTAACTCATAGCGCTTTTCAGCCCAGCAGGGATCTCCCAGTCTGTGGGTTGCAGAGGCCATGGGAGAAGCATGGTATCTGAACCACAGTGCAGGGGGCAGTGGGCAGTCGCCAATCTTCTGGTCAGTTGTACTTCCTGGGTGAGGCAGCACCCTGCCCTGCCTTGGTTTGCCCTCCTTGGGCTACACCCACTGTCCAACCAGTCCCATTGAAATGAACCTGGTACCTTAGTTGGAAATGCAGAGATCATTCGTATTCTGCAGCTCTCTTGCTGGGAACTGTTCTCCAGAGCTGTTCCTATTTGGCTGTCTTGGTGGAATCGAAAGTAGTTCTTTTTAATCAGTTTCTCAAGCTTAGACTGAATGTCAGAAATTTTAGACCAGGAAAAGTTCGATTCACTTAATGGAACCTTGGATTGTTTCAAGAAGCAAAGAAAACCCAATTCTTCTGGGCACAAAATGAGCAAGACATCTCCTCTCCTATTTAGGCCTCTAGCTGTTCTACCCACATGATGAATATATTCCTTAGAGTCATCTGGAAGGTCATACTGAACATCCAGTCACCTTCAGAATGTCCAGCCATTGCCGCCACGTCTGTATACAGTAGTGTTCCCAATTGCAGAACTGCAAGAATGTGGCTGTAGGCTTATTTTGCTTTTGCTTTCCATGAATGGCCAAGATGGGCAAATCAGTATAGTTTAGCAACTCATAGTGGTGTTTCACGGACATACAAGATGAAAAGAAGACCATAAGCTTCTTTTGGTTCTTCTTAAGGAATTTAAAGAGCAGAAGGAATCTCTTTTCAGAAGGACAAACAACATATCCTTGCTAAAGACCTTCCACTGTTGCATTAGCTTTATCATCATCAACAGCAACATACAATAGCTCCTTTTTCAGAGAAATCCTCACCAGGGCTTCAACATCTTGAGTTTGGATGGCAGAAAAGAACATAGTCTGTCTACACGTTGGCAAAAGTTTAATAATTTGCTTTAATTCTTCTTCAAATCCAACATCCAAGATATGATCAGCTTAATCAATAACCATACACTGCAGGGTTTTATACATAAACCCTGGGGTATTCTACATGTAGTCCAGCCAGCTGCCTGGTGGGGCCACAGTGATGTTGATCCCATCAGCAAATTTCTGTGCTTCAGCAGATCTGTTAGTACCACCCATTGTCAACCCTTAGGTATGCACGTGGTGAGTCAGAACACCAAAAGTTTGCATGGCTAATTCTCTAGTAGATAACGACTCCCATTCCATTCCTGGGCATGAACTTTAACTTAACAATGAATTCAGCTGCAGGGATGTGAAAAGCCAGGGTTTTAACACTGCCTGTTTTTGTAGCTGCTAGAAGATCCCTGACTTCCAGAAGTGGTCTGATACTTTTATGCTGAATTTCAGTCATGTTTGTAAAACCCATTTCTTTTATTGCCTCCAGAGTGTTTTCACTGATAAGATTACATAGAGAAGCAAATGAAGTATCCTGAAAAGCTCCTGTCAGTCTCAGGGACTGGCTGGGCACCACACTGCCATCATTATCTGGCTCCTCCAAATTATTTTCTCTTTCTTTAGGAGTCTCGGCACTTTCTTCAGATTCACCTTTTTTTCAATTTTTGCTTTTTTTGTATCAAGCCCAGCATCATTCATCATTTGTCTCTTTTTCTTTTTTGATTCTGAATTGGGAGACCTCGTTGCTGCTATTCCATTGGTTAATATAGTGGATTTCTGGGGAGATTTTTTAACTTTCGTATTTTCTACTGCTACTTGAGACATATCTTTATTTTGAGCTTCTGATAAGCCCACATTCATAGAATGTTTTGATTTTTTTAAACTTTCCACCTCATTGTTTTCTTCAGACACATACCCATTTTGAGTTTCTGATAGGGTCAAATTTGAGGCCCCCTGCAACTTTAAAATCTCAATAGCTGCCGCAGTTTGAGATTCTGCTTCTCAGTCTTGTGCAGGAGTTTCATCAGCAGGTAAAACATACTGTCCAAAAAGTGCGTAGACTGCAGTGCCCCACATAGTATGTCTACTCAGCTCTCAGGGCTGACATAAGCATATATGTGGTTGCACTCTCAAGTACTTGGTGTAGACACTTAACAATTCTCTTTAGGGAAAATAAGAGCTCTTTAAGTGCTAGTTGACCAAAACTGACTTGAATTTTACTTGCTCATGTAAGGAGCCAAATGGATGAATAAGATAGATAGGCTTTCTATTCAATCTTTCTTTCTAGTAATATGATGTGAATAGCAGATATCCCTTAAGTACCGTGATTAACCCATTTATGCCTAGTGTTCCATTATTGAAACGCTAAGTATGTGTGACTTATTTCTGTCCTACTGCTCAGGTCATCACTAAGGTCTGATTGCAGAAATTCAAAAAATTGCAACCTCTGGCTTAAAGGCATAAATGGGTTAAATTCTTTTTTTTTTTTTTTTTTTTTTTTTGTTAGTTCATGTCTTTTATTAACTCGGTTATTTGTCTTCTGGTTTGTTAAAGCAGTAAGTCAGACAACATTTGCCACAATAATGTCTGTCAAAGTGGCTTGCCATAAACACTCCAGCACCACATTCATCAGAAGGGCATTCTCGACGAAGGCAACTAATTTTGCCATTCTCATCCACCTTGTAATATTTCAGGACAGCCAGCTTAACCTTCTTTCTCTTGTGCTTATTCTTCTTGGGAGTGGTGTAAGACTTCTTCCTTTTCTTAGCACCACCACGAAGTCTCAACACAAGATGAAGAGTAGACTCCTTCTGAATGTTGTAGTCAGACAAAGTACGTCCATCTTCCAGTTGCTTGCCAGCAAAGATCAGTCTTTGCTGATCAGGAGGAATTCCTTCCTTATCCTGGATCTTGGCCTTTACATTTTCTATCGTATCCGAGGGTTCAACCTCGAGGGTGATGGTTTTTCCCGTAAGGGTTTTCACGAAAATCTGCATTTTGGTGGCGGCCCCACGTGAGGCGCAGATGGCGGATCGAAAAGGAAGAATGTCGCGCAGGCCCCAAATGGGTTAAATTCTTACAAATGGCAGTATGATGGAGTAGGGAGAAAGAACTGGGAATTGAATTTTTTTTTTTGGTCAGATATACCTCTGTGTAAATCCTGGTTTCGTTACTTAATTATAGGGATATGGACAAGTTAATTTGATTTTCTGTCTCCTCATTTAAAACTGGATTTTCTTTTTTAAAGACAGAGCCTTCTTCTGTCACCCAGGGTGGAGTGCAGTGGCCTGATCTCAGCTCACTGTAACTGCTGCCTCCCAGGTTCAAGCAATTCTTATGCCTCAGCCTCCCGAGTAATAGCTAGGATTACAAGCATTCACCACCACAGCTGGCTAATTTTTGTATTTCTAGTAGAGACAGGATTTCTCTGTGTTGGCCAGGCTGGTCTTGAACTCTTGGCCTCAAGAGATTCACCCATCTAGGCTCCGCAGAGTGCTAGGATTACAGTTGTGAACCACTGTGCCTGGTACATAACTGGATTTAAAAAATTCTTTTACCAGAGTTTGTGAGTCCAGAGTGAGATAATGACATTTGGCAGGAGTTACTCAATGTATATTTTATCTTCCCTTGATGTAGAAAGTAACAATCACCAGGAATTGGAGACTACCAGCAATGAGAATAAATCCTAATCGTTTAATGTTACTGATTTAATTGATTTATTGATAACATTCCATTACTTTTTTCAAATCTCTGAACTAGAAAGGGCTTATTTGTAGAGAAACTGATTAGAATCTTTGTTTCATTCAAAAATTACTAGTTATAAAATGGTCTTTTTTTTTTTTTGAGACAGAGGTTTGCTCCTCTTGCTCAGGCTGGAGTTGCCTCGGTTCACTGCAACCTCTGCATCACGGGTTCAGCTGATTCTTCTGCCTCAGCCTCCCAAGTAGCCGAGATTACAGGCATGTACCACCATGCCCAGCTAATTTTTTTTTATTTTTAGTAGAGGTGGGGTTTCACCACGTTGGCTAGACTGGTCACGAACTCCTGACCTCATGTGATCCACCCACCTTGGCCTCCCAAAGTGCTGGGATTATATGCGTGAGCCACCATGCCTGGCCGAATGGTCTTTTTTTTTTTTTTGTACAAGATCTTGTTCTGTCATCCAGGCTGGAGTATAGTGGTGAAATCGCAGCTCACTGTAGTCTCGACCTCTTAGACTCAGGTGATCCTCCTGCCTCAGCCTCTTGTGTAGCCAGGACTACAGGCACACAGCAGCACACTTGGCTAATTTTATTTTTAGTAGCGACAAGGTCTCTCTGTGTTGCCCAGGCTGGTCTTAAACTCCTAGGCTCAAAGGAGCTTCCTCCCCTGACCTCCCAAAGTGCTGAGATTATAGGCATGAGCCACTGTGCCAGGCCTAAAATTTTTTTTTTTAACTCAGATAAAGTATCCATTTGAAATTCTCCCTGAAAACTTAAAAAAACACTTAAGGGAAGTAAACTAGTGTCAAATAAAGATCACGAAACACCTTCATTAGTCTTCGGAAAAAGAAAAAGCATGTTCCCAAATATGAGTTCTAATGTGAATCCAATCTAAAAACTTGGTTTGCGTCATGGGAAAATATAGATATTTACTTAAATTGATAAGAGTGACAAGTTTAGAGCAAAATATAAAATATGAGGTACTGCTGTATTTGTAAAGAAAATAGATTGTTAATAGTGAGAAGCATCTTAATAACTTTTGGTAGGGTGGTTGAGTTGTAATTTTTACTAGTTTGAGTACATATATATAATCGGCCATGTAAGTTTAATGTGAAGTTTCTACTTTGAGCTGTAGTTTTTCCATTCTTAAATCAGTTGTTTTAACAGGTTTTCTACAAAACGTTTGTTGTATATGTTATACTCTTAAAATACTATTTATATATTTTGCTTATTAATTGCAATTAAGCTGTTAATAATAATGTGGTTGAACATAAAAGAATAATATGCTTATCACAAGAATAAGCACCATAAATCAAGAACATCTATTCTGCAACTTTTAAATGCACACTCTTTTATTTATTTTTTAATTTTTAATTTTTTTCTTATGTTTTTGTTGCATACCAGTATACACACTCTCTTAGGCAGTTATAGAATACAGACAGGGCTCAAGCTTTTCTGTCAAGTTGCATGTAGGCCCATGGCCTACATTTTTTTTTTTTGTTACAGTAAAAATATGTAAATTATTTACTGATGACTTACTGTATGTAAAATATTGTAATGATGGATAGAATAGTGACTTTTTATGGAATCACTGCAGTATAATAAGCAATATTAAGAGTATTACACATAAATAGTATAGAAACAGAAATAATTAACATCTGCTGGTTTGTCCACACAAGTACTTGTACAAATAAAGCATAGTGGCTTTATTTGTAATAGCCCCAACTGCAAACAGCTCAAGTCTGTCAGCAATGAAATGACAAACAGATGATGTTACGTCCATGCAGTGGAGTAGTATTCAGCAATAAAAAGAACAAAAATCCATAGGCCCAACAGCATTGATGAATCTCAGAATTATGCCCAATGAAAGAAATCAGACAAAAAGAGTACATACTATGTAATCCCATTCATATAAAATTCTAGAAAATGCAGCTACTAAAGTGAAAAACACTGATAATTTCTGGCAAGGACAGGAAGGTGAGATTGCAACGAAACTTACAGGAATCATGGCAATATTCCTTATCTTGATGGTGGTGATGATATATGTCATAAACTCATCAAAATGTATAGTATACAGTTTCTTGTACATGAATTATATCTCAGGAAAGCACTCAGTGATTTTTAAAGAACCTATGCTGGGAGTACAGATGTGATTTATTCCATAAATATATTAGAATAATCATTGTAGAGATAGAGCGTGTACTCTGGTAAACCTGAATTGATACGATATCAAACGTGGGATCAGTGAGCCAAATAGAAATAGTTAGAGCCAAATTAGTGAGCCAAATAGTCAGAGGTTCTGAATTTGAGTCCTTGTTAGGCCATATTTTCTCTAATCTTTATTTTTCTCATCTTTAGTTTCATTAAGATTTTAAGAATATATTTGAAAGAACATTTGAAAATGACGTAAAAATGGAAGGCTGGCCAGCCACAGTGGCTCACACCTGTAATCCCAGCATTTTGGGAGGCTGAGGGGGGCAGATCACAAGGTCAGGAGTTTGAGACCAGCCTGACCAACATGGTGAAATTCCATATCTACTAAAAATACGAAAGTTAGCCAGGCATAGTGGCAGGCGCCTGTAATCCCAGCTACTCAGGAGGCTGAGGCATGAGAATTGCTTGAACTTGGGAGGCAGAGGTTATAGTGAGCTGACATCATACCACTGCACTCCAGCCTGGGCGAAAACCCAGATTCCATCTCAAAAAGAAAGAAAGAATAAAGGAAGGCTTTGCTGGCATTTAGGTTAGAAGGGAAAACAAAATAAAGTAGAACTTGATCTGTTGAGATCAGTGAGGAGGGAATTCCAAAAAAGGACTAGAGCTGGGGAAGTGGAAACATGTATGGTATATTTGGAAAATGATGAGTCAAAATCAGTTTAGGACAGAGTTCATTTTGCAGAGTAGAGAGGGAGAGATAGCAACCTAAAGTATCTAAAAGCATAATAGAGACTATAAAATAGTGAGAAAGTTTACCATCAAGATATAAGTTGCTGTTAGTAGCCCTATAATCTTAGCCAAGTGATCTAAGCGCCCAAAAGATCTAGGGGAGATTCCATTCCTTGCCTCTTCCAGCTTGTGAGGGCTGCAGGCATTCATCTTGTGACCATATTACTCATCACTACAGTCTTCGCATTGTCACGCCACCTCCTCTTCCCCGCCTTTCACCTTCTCCTGTGTGTGTCAAGCCTCCATTCTGCCTTTTTTGCATGAGGATACTTGTGACTGTATTTAGGGCCCACCTGGGTGATCTGGGATAATCTCCCCCATTCCAACATAATTCATTCCATCTGCAAAACCATAAAGGTATCATTCACAAATTCAAGAGGTTGGAACATGAACATTTTGGGATTTTTAGCTTTTTGGAGTTGGTGCTGTCATTGACCAGAGTACTTGAAAAAGAAGACATTTTTGAGAGATGATAATGACTTCACTTGGACCTTTTGAGGTACCTGTGGGACATGTGTATGAGGGTATTCACTTTATATTATCAGAAAACCTTGAATGAAGTGGCTTAAACAATAAGGATGTTTATTTAAAACAGAAAGAAAGCACCCGCAGAGATGGTTAAATAAGCAATTCAGTGATATCCTTGAGGATATAAGTTCTTGCTTTACCATCCTTAGGCTGGCTCTCCTGTGGTAACAAAATGACCCCCACAGTTCTAGACCTTCAATCCAGACATGAAAATGTTTAGTTGGCTTGTTCTGTGTGTCTTTTTTTTTTTTTTCATCTGCAAGGATACCTAACCTCTGAAGCTACCTAGCAGGTTCTATTTTTCTTGGAAACATAAACATTCTCCTGACCACCAACGTTTACCTAAATTTTTTATATCTACATTGCAGATTTGTTCAGGTAGGAACCCCTTCCTCAAATACACAAACATTACACCCATCTGTCTTAAGTGACAAGTGGCAAAACAGATGCCTTGAGCACTTCCTACATCATACTATTTTACTACTTTTTGGTATTCAGATTTGGTAGAATCTTGCGGAACTATCTTTCTGTGGTTTATTTAAACAGCAGTCCATTCACCTTGCTTAGTCTTCTTTAAGTTTTTGTCTACAAATTCCTAACCATGTCTTTTTGTTGTTGAGACAGTCTCACTCTGTCACCCTGTTCCTAGAGTGCAGTGGCGAGATCTCAGCTGACTGTAACCTCTGCCCTCTGGGTTCAAGCGGTTCTTGTGCCTCAGACTCTCAAGTAACTGGGATTACAGGTGCACATCACTACGCCTGGCTAATTTTTGTATTTTTAGTAGAGATGCAGTTTAACCATGCTGAGCAGGCTGGTCTCAAAGTTCTGACCTCAGGTGATCTGCTGGCTTCTGTCTCCTAAAGTGCTAGGATTACAGGCATGAACCACTGTGCCTGGCCCATGTCCTCATTTTTAACATTAAACTTGAAAACAGTGGTCAATGTAATCTGGAGACTCCTGGGGATCCCCAGAATCTTTTAGGGTGTTCGTGAGATCAAAACAATCTTCTAGCAGTGTTTAAAGACATTAGTAGTCATTTTTCATTCCAGTCTTTCTCTCTCAGATATACGATGGAGTTTTCCAGAGGCTACTTGAAATGTGATTTTTTTTTTTTTTTTTTTTTGAAACAGAGTCTCACTCTGTCCCCAGGCTGGAGTGTGATGCAACAGTCTCAGCTCACTGCAACCTCTGCCTCCCAGGTTCAAGTGATTCTCCTGCCTCAGCCTCCCAAGTAGCTGGGACTTCAGGTGTGTACCACCATGCCTGGCTAAATTTTGTATTTTTAGTAGAGACAGGGTTTCACCATGTTGGCCACGCTGGTCTTGAACTCCTGACCTCAGATGATCTGCCTTTCTTGGCCTCCCAAAGTGCTGGGAACGTGATACCATAACAGACTTAACACGTGAGAATTCAGCTGATTTTCAATAGACTTTAAGAGATATTCAAAAATCAGTGCTACTCTTACCCTTTTCTTTTTTGGGGGGGGTCTGAGAAAATTTAGTTTTTTGAAAACTATGTTGTCTTAAAACATAACAGACTTACTGTTATTTTTAGGTGAATAATTTTTAAACTTCTAAGTTTTAATTTATAATATGGTAAATATTTTTAGATATAGTTTATATAAATAAGAGCTCTTTTGGGTTCTCAGTAAATTTTTAGGGTGTAAAGAGGCCTGATATCTGAGTTTAAAATCTACTCTCTAGTGTTAACCACATACTCCAAAGTTTTTCCATTTCTCCAATATTTTTCCTGTCTCTTACTATTATCAGTTATCATGTATCATCTTTATAAGTTGCAGGATTTGTTGCAAGTACTTCACAGTCATTCATACTATTTAATATTGATCCTGTTTATGGGAGCAGCATGCTTTCTCATTCTTTATTAATATATCTCTGTATTTTATTTCCACCATAATTACTTACCTCTGTTTAGTAGTATTTTCAGCATTTTTACTGTTTTTGTGCTTATTGAACATGCTGGATTTAATAATATTCTTAAGTACCTCAAAACTAAGGGTGGAGAACAAACCAATGAAGACTAGAGAGCCAAGACTTACATGAGCATACCCATTGTTATCATCTCTTGGTAATGGGCATAATTAACACTCTTGCTCTGAGAAATGACTTTGATTTATCAATAAACATTTATAAGTGGGGAGTATCTGTAATTTTTATAAACTTGGCTGTGAAGGGAGAGTGCCTGAGGGATGATACCCAGTTTTGATGGGAGATAAGGAATGGGACATGGAGAATGAAACGTGAGTACTAGATTTTAAGCTATGGGTGCCTGAGCAATTGAAGGCATCCATCCTTAGCAGATTAAGAAATGCTATAGTGGCATGGTAGTTGGGAAATAATTTGAGTTTGTTTTCAGACATTGAATTTCCAGGATGGCAGACACATTCAGATGGAATTGTCTAGCACTCTAGCTGGTCAGTAGAAGCCCAGAATTGACATTCAAGTCAATTCTGAGTCAAAGGTGAGTCAGAGATCTGTCAATAATGATAGCTCATCAATTACTGCTGCACCATATTCTTGTATAAACAACCTATGCTAGGCACTGGGCACTTTACATAGACTCATCTCATTTAATCTGTATAACAGTCCTCAGAAAGCTCACTTGTTTAAGGTCATCCAGCCACTATAGTCATATAACCATGATCAACATGCAGGTCTGTCGGAACTAAAAAGCAGTTGTTCTACCTAGTGTACATGCTGTCTCCAAGCAATATTAATATATTCATTGACAATTGAATTAAATGTGAAATACTTAATGCATGAGGTGAAGAAATCTGTTACTCAGTTTTAGGAAGACAGTAATTCTTTTAATTAATGCTTAGTAATATGTCAGAAGACAGAGTCTCGCACTATCGCCCAGGCTGTAGTGCAGTGGCGCAATCTCTGCTCACTGCAATCTCTGCCTTCTGGGTTCAAGCAATTCTTCTGCCTCAGCCTCACAAGTAGCTGGGACTAGAGGCATGCACCACCACACCCAGCTATTTTTTTTTTTTTTTTTTTTGTATTTTCAGTAGAGACAGGGTTTCATCATGTTGGCCAGGATGGTTTTGATCTCCTGACCTTGTGATCTGCCTGCCTCAGCCTCCCAAAGTGCTGGGATTACAGGCGTGAGCCACCATGCCCAGCCAAAACTCAAATATATTTATCCTTGTAGTGATCTTCTGTAGTTCAAAGGGACAGGGATACTAGGAGTGTCTATGGCAGATCTAGAATTAGAAACCTTAATAGAAATTGAGTTATTATGGTGTGAAGTATACTTTACTGGGAAATTTTCAGGTAGTAAGTTTCAGAGAATATTCAAATTAATAGATCTTTTTAAAAGTTCATTGTA